ATAGCCACTAATTCAAAAATCTGGCTTTTGAAAAACTCACTCCGCTTAAATTAATCGAACAGTTGAGAATTTTTCTGTGCTTCATACACTATCTTACGTGTGATATCCCAATGTTAGTGTAAAGGGCATCAGCATTAGAACCACTTCCAGGAAAGCGAAATCTACAGCTACTTTCAATCAAGTATTAACTAGTATCGGAAATAACTGAAAACAAACCTCTCAATCAAAAGCTCGAGACGCTCGTGGCCTGCCCGGGTCGAGATCCCGCTCAAAAACCGCTCAAGATATGAGCAGTTTGAGCGGTTTTTCAGCAAGATTTGAGCGGTTTAAGCGGTTTGGGCAGTTTGGGAATTTTGTTTTGGAAAAACCCCTCAAACCGCTCAAATCTTGCTTAAAAAACCGCTCAAAAACCGCTCATTTCTTGCGGTGATTTTTGAACGGTCTTTCAAGCAAGATTTGATTGGTTCTTGAGCGGTCTTTGAGCGGTCTTATAGAGAAAACCGATTAAAACCTGAAAAAGTAATGTGACCCCGGGTTGACCTCCATAAACTGAAAAAGCTTATCTTACATTTCCCCACACTGAAAATGCTTATCATACAATCGCCTGCATCAAATGTATGAAAAATTCTAATCAAACATTTTTCATCCAATTTCAAAAAACCATTGAAAAAAGATTCAACCTAGTTTCTCCGGCTATTTGAACCAAATGTAACAGACTGGTGATAAAAAATAACTACGTTTATTTTTTTTGAAAAAAATGGTTATCATAAAATTTCCATGTATGAAAAATTGTTTATCCTACAATTTCCATACATGAAAAAATGTTTATCCTAAAATTTCCATATATGAAAAAACGCTTATCCTAGAGTTTTTTTTTACAATTTTTTGAGTCTATGAAACTGTAGGAAATTGTAGGATAAGCACAAAATTCCAAAGGATATTCCAAAGATCTGCACAAGGAAACATTAAGAACAGTCTTGAAAAAATTAGATGGAAAAAAACCTAGCTTCATTAATAAACAATATTCAATCTGCATGTAAACGGGTAGAATGGCTCGGCTACAACGTAAATAGTCAGTAAAGGCACATAGCCACTAATTCAAAAATCTGGCTTTTAAAAAACTCACTCCGCTTAAATAAGTCGAACAGTTGAGAAGTTCTCTGTGCTTCATACACTATCTTACATTAGATATACCAATGTTAGTGTAAAGGGCATCAGCATTAGGACCACTTCCAGGAAAGCGAAATCTACAGCTACTTTCAATCAAGTATTAACTAGTATCGGAAATAACTGAAAACAAACATCTCAATCGAAAGCTCCTACATTTATCCTACATTTTCCATACATGAAAAAATGTTTATCCTAAAATTTCCATATATGAAAAAACGCTTATCCTAGATTTTTTTTTAAATTTTCTGAGACTATGAAACTGTAGGAAATTGTAGGATAAGCTTTTTATCATATATGGAAAATGTAGGACAAGCATTTTTGGTCAACCAACGTTAAGATGCAGTTTACAATTTACAATCTACAATTTACAGAAGTAATTAACCGTTCTCAAATCAAGTAAGATCTTTTTCGATGTCTTGACCAAAAACAATGTGAGCGATTTTTGTCAAATGCTCGAGCAAAATAACCACTGGAAAATATGTAAGATTTGAGCGGTTTGAGCGGTTTTTTCAGACAATTACGCTCAAAATCTTGCTTCAAAATGAGCGGTTTGAGCGGTTTTTGAACGGTTTATCTTAAAAAATCGCTCAAAAACCGCGCAAGATTTGAATGGTTTTTGAGCGGTTTATCTAAAAAACCGCTCAAAAATCGCGCAAGATTTGAACGGTTTTTGAGCGGTTTATCTAAAATGTTTTAGATAAACCGCTCAACCGCTCAAATTTTGCGCGGTTTTTGAGCGGTTTTTTAAAATAAACCGTTCAAGAACCGCTCAAAACGCTCATTTTGAAGCAAAATTTTGAGCGTAATTGTCTAAAAAACCGCTCAAATCTTGCTTTCAAATTAGGTAAAAAATCTCGACTCGGGTATGACTCGTCAACCTTCGGGTTAAGAGAAGCACAAGGACAAATCAAAGAAGCCGACTGGGTAGCAATTGTGTACAGTTCATTAGAAGGGAAGTTAACGTTAAACAAACTCGAGTTACAAGTAAAAATTTGAAAATCACTTTATACGGGGCAAATTTTACCGTCACCACAGATCAGATCAGCAAGGGCTGATCAGCGCTTTAAACACAGGCGAAAGATCAGACACCAGCCATTGTAGGCTTACAAGATATACCGATTGAACTCATTCACCGTTCACGTCAAGAACATAGCGGGAACAAAAAAGAGTTTATTAGACTACGTGTTTGAAATCTGGTGGGATTAGCGTTAACCCCAGCGAGTATAATAAACAATTTGTTGACACTTATCATAAGCCCACAAGAAGACGGTCAATTGCCCTAATTGATGAAGTACACAGACACCTCCGATGAAAATTGGTCATATCAATCAGTTCTTATTCGTCATCAGATGATCAACATCCTTTTTGACTGCTTATTCCTGTCTACAATCGCCTCATGGCAAAGATGGTGGTGTTTGTTCCAAAAGTTGCACTGAGGAAGATTCCCATTAGCAAAATGCCTCATAAAGCCAGCCCAATTTTTTTTATCATTCAAAAAGTATCGTGGTCTTGAGCTTAACATTAAAAATTTGTTTCACCAGTGATCTTTATCAAAAAATTATAGGGTTTAAATATACTCATTTTGGGTAATTTTGGATCATTAACGCGCGATATATTTCGAGCTATTAACGCGTAAGCGGGGGTTCAATCCGTCTTACAAATCGTTTCAAATTGGTTGAAGGAAACTTATTTGCCATCATTGTTTTGTTACTACCCGGGTCGAGATTGGGGTCTTTTATTTCGACCTCTGCGACCCATATCGCGTATGTTGCGACCATTGCGACTCAAAATGAGTATGTCGCGACTTTTTGAACAATTAACTGATATATTTTCTGTCACATATTTTGATCGTTTTCCACTAGGAAGAGATTGACTAAAAATGACCGCCATACGACACCTCAAAAAATTAAATTCGTTTTGACACCCAAAAGTTGAAGCCCAGATAGACCCGGGCTAATGTGCTCGACTCATGACTAGACCGAAATGGTCAAACGATGTCCGTTTTCGACTTTTTCAGTCGAACGATGACCAGACAATGTTCGACTTTGTTCGACTTTGCTCTACTTTGTTTTACTATACTGGACGTGGTTCGACCCTGTTTGACTTTTTTCGGTTTTGTTCGACTTTACCAGACATTATTCAACTTTCTGTAACTTTGCTTAACTTGATCGGAAATTTTTAGCTTTTACCGGGAATAAGTCAAAACCATTACTCGGAGATCCTGAATTACAACGAAACTCGGACATCATTTGACCGTTTCTGTCAAAACATGTGTCAGAAACCTCAGCCTGGGCAGCCGCAAAATATACACAAAAAAAAAATCTCAAACAAAAAAAATCACTTTTATTCATTTACATTCATTTTTTTCATGTTATTACTGCTCTAGAGTCCTTAACAGGCAGTTCGATTATTCAAGGCTTTGCCCTGAAACGAGCAGTCTTGTTCACTTTACATTCATTCCGTGCAAAGACACGCAGTTCACAGTAAAGTTCGTTGACAACCTGCCAGTCATGTGTAACGATGCTTGACTTCTCCATCATTCTTTCTTGTTAGGAAAAATTTAGGCCGATTTTGCCACGACACTTTTGTTTTATATTTTCTATTATACCAGTTATTCTGCAGTGATTAATTGAGTCTTGATTTTCAGTCTTTTTACTCGAGCGCTTTCGCGGTGATTTTACATCCTGAAGACAAAGTTCGTTTCCAGCTTCAACGATCTGACTAAAAAAACAATGAAACAGAATTCTATTCTAATTATAAGTAATCGATGTTAGTAAGTAATCAAATTTTTAAGTAACAATTTTATAAACTGACTTCAAAAGAAATAGTTATTTTTGACCACAGTCAAGTTGCGTCCATTGTGGCAGATTTATGACCTGTGGTGTGTTATTTTTCTAGTGGATTGATTTTTATGCATACTCGGAACGATGAAGGAAAATCAAGAAACCGTGATTCCCATTCAGTTTCAGGAGGCCATTCGTTATGCGGAGAAGAGTCATTATAGACAAATGGATCATTGTCTCCGACCGAATAATCTATGCACCACCTCCCTTCTTCTGTTTTGTATATGAACATATTACCGCCTGTCATCTTGTAGACACAACTGTGTTCGTGCTGCGTTTCCTCGTACACTGCATATAATCCAAGACAGTGACGAGAAAAGAAATGATAGTTTTCAATGCATTCAACCGATGCGGTTATGATGATTTCGTCCTCGAACTTTGACCGGTCTAAAGCTGCCCAAGGCTGGCTCGTAAAATCTTTGACATCATCTAAACTGTCAAGCGTATAGAAGCAATCGGCGGGAAACGAATCTGCATACTTCACCCACTCTCCTCCTTCACTGAAGTATTCCCAGCCACTCAGTGGAGGCATTTCTCTAAGTTCTTCAGTATTTTCACGAGGTATGTTTCGTAACATACATTTAGGATCATCATCAGTTCTTCGTACGTTAGGAGAACAAAACCAGGCGTTACCAGATGACCTGTATAGGAAAAATATTTCGTAGAGATTCTTGCAACATGATCTAAATTTTCTAGCGAAAAAAATAGTTTCATGACCAGTTGTTTGCACAAACTTTGTGTGACTCAACCAATCGGGGAAGATTACAGAGTATTTGACTGGCCCAAATCTTACTTTATTTTTGAATTTTTCTGTTTCGTCAAACCAAATTCTTCGACATGAATTGTCAGAAACTACATCTCCGTCTCTGTCTTTGTAAAACAACTCTGTCACTTTCTTCCTTTCATATCCTCGAAAGCCTAGTATGAGTAAAGTGGCGTCTTTTTTCTCATCAGGCAACAATGCAGCGTCGCACTTTATTTCAAAGTTCATTGGAAGCTCTTTATTTGCACATGTGTATTTCTTGCCTTCCGAAATGTAAGGATATAAACATTTCAAAATTTTGTTCTTCATTGATTTCAATTCAAAATTCTTAGTGTCTTTATTCAGGCTGAAAACTCCCACTTTGACATTACCGTGGTACTCAAGAAAGTCATGGCAGTCACGTTCAAGTTCGTTTGCAATTGTTCTTTGCTTGTCGTCATCAAGAACATAAAATGGTTCCATCGTTTTGCTTTCTTCGTCATAGGACAAACTGCAAACTTTCGCCAAAACTATAATCTGAAAAGCTGTTTCAACTTCTTTTAGGTTTTCTAAACTTTTGCCTTGACCTTTAGCGTATTCGTATGCAGTTAGAGCATCATCCTCGGCCGCACGAAACTTCATAATAGCTTCAGCGACTTGCTTGTTTTCCAAACAATTAATGGCAGTCAATACTTTCTTGCCGGCCGTTTTCAAGGGAGTTGAAAGAATGATTTTAACCATTTTTTTGATATCCTCCAGAGTCTTTTTCATTTGAGCGAGAGTAAGTGCCGTTAAATCCATGGAAGAAAATGAGCTGCCAATTCCTATCACATGGTAGGAAAACTCGATCATTGCTATGTAGCTCAAACTGTAGGCTAATTTCTGTGCGGTTTCCCCTGAAACAAACATTCATTTATTCATTTAATTTAACCACGCTGAAAAATTTGTTTGACCTCCAAAATTTTTATTCACCAGACATGCCCGAATGTAGTCAAATTTGATGGGAAAAAAGATAAATAGTTAGTTTGCTCAAAGGCTGAACACAAACTGCTTTGCCGGTGACAGAGGGGTAGATTAGCTTTGTTTTTTTTTTTAAAAAAAGGTTCAAGAAGTAAATTGCAAGTAAATTGGCGTAGTTGCAGTCACATTTCAAACATTTAGTCTCTAATTAGTCTGAGCTAACGTTCGCAGGTAGCGCGAAAAAAAATTTGAAACTTAACGTTTCTCACTTTGTCGCTTTAATCATAAAGTTTATCTGCTAAAATTGTTAAATGAGTAGATGTTTGATAATCTTCAAGGGCATCTTAAATGTTCTAAATCCACAACTTTTCTGAAATTTGTTTAGGATGCCCTTGAAGAATATCAGACATACGTTTGAGTAACCAAGGTTTTTGTCACTTGTGTTCGGTCACGAAATCAATCCAAAAATTTTGAGAAAGTATGATTCAAAAAATTAATGTTTTTGATTTACGGAAAAATGCTAGTCGTACAATTTCCATATATGAAAAATCACTTATCTTAGACCTTTCATGCATTTTTCTGTAGTTGGGGAATTGCATGAAAAGTGAATGATTAGCATTTTTCCATATACGAAAATTGTATGAGTAGATTTTTTGGTTAACCCGGGTATGTTGACCAATTTGATTTGCCGACCCTTGTCAATTTTTTTGTCAGAAATATTTTTGTAGAAGCATGCCAAAAAGTGTTTTAAGTCAAAAACATAAGCTTATGATATGCCTGCTGGCTTATTTGCTTTATTCGTTTTCAATTAAATTTTAAAAACGAAATCGTGCAAAGTAGTTTTTGTTTTCGAGAATATTTGAATCACTAGTCACAAAGTTTTAATATGATATTCAATCTAACTCAATTCTGATTCGTATTTGGGTTTCTTGAGCTTGCGTGAAAAAAGTCCAAAAAAATTAAAACACACCGAAAACAAAAATTTTCACAGCTTTCAGAGGTCGGAAGAAAGAATCCTATAGCAAGATATTATTAAAGGCGAGCAATCTTGTAGATAAATAAAAAAAAACCTGCAAACAAACAAACTAAAGAAACATAAGGAAATTCAAATTTTAACCTAAAATTGAGCTCAAAGCATCGATAACTACAGATAGTAGAAAAAAAGGCAGCATAAAAGTTTACTTACAAAGTCGAAATTTGTCTGGAGAAAAAACCCATCCCAAGCACAAACATTCTGTCATCCTCTTCAAAAATAAACATAAATTAGCAAAAAATAAAACACAAATTTGCTAAAATTTGACGCAAAAAAAAATAATTTGTGATTTAGAAAAGGATTTGCTAAGGTAAATAAGACTGTAAACAACTGATTAGTGAATAAACCCATTCTCTGACAGGAACTAAAACTTTTAAAACTTTTTCATCAGTTCTCTGTTAAATTCTGTTTCTAAAAAATCATAATTAAAAGTGATATTTTCTCGGAAGAACTCAAGAAATTTTCCTGACTGAAATCAACAATAAACTGATCGAAGAAGAACAAACATAAAAAAATTCAAGTTTTACACGGAGAGGTTGCTCGATTTTTTCAAGCGCAGCTTGGATTTACAGCCTTACAAAACGAATAAAACAAACGAACACAAATTTACCGTAAGTTTTGCTGTGAAATAAAGTATTCGAAGCAATTGATAAAATAATCTCTATGTCATTATGGAACGTTATCAAAAAGTCAAGAGAAGCTTTTAGCCAGTAATAATCAAAAGCAATTAGATAAATTGTCTGATTGATTGCGCATCGAAACGAGTACTTATCGCATGAAAAGACTCAAAAGTAGGGATTCAAGATGATCAATGATTCTTTTAAATTAACCAAATACCCCTTTTCAGTTGTTTTCTGTCTGTGGTGGTAGTGAGTGGACCACCTAAGATAGAGGACGTTATACCATTTTGTTATCGATGTTAGAGATCATTTGAATAACACTAATTAAAGACCTGTCAATCATGTCGATTGTTCTAACAACTTGATGGTGCTTAAAATTAAGACTCACTCTTCGTTAGCTATTGCAAGATTATAGTTATCTTCTATTCATTGATCCATATCTACTTACTAAACTTTACTATTAATTCAACTATATTATTAGTTTAGTTTTCAGATAAGATTTAGGGATTATCACATGGCGCAGCCAGCAGTTTCTACTTCTGAAGATAGGATGGAACAGCTAGGTGTCCCTTCATTCTGGGGTAAACCGTCAGCCGAACCTCCTTAACCTTGGGAGGTGTAGATAGGCCAATTTTTCCTCGCCGTATCACTCAAGGAAAATTGTGACCCGAATCTCCTACTAACAGAACCGGCAGCAGTATACGACGACGCCCCCCCCCCCACAAGACCTGAACCGATTCCAAATTCAGAAACGGCGGAAGAAGCGGATAGCAGAGCCGCAAGAAACGAAGCGGCACTCAGGAAAACAAACGAGGCGAACGAAGAACGAAGAAAGAAGGGACCCAAAATAAGTCCAAACGTATACTATCATGAAGCAGATGCAAGGATAAAGTTGAGGCTATTGTTCGCCTTGGGAAACGAAGGGAAGAAAAGATTCCTCCAGCAACATGCACATGTCAATCAAAACACAGTAAAATTCAAATTTTTTCACGACTCTTGCGAACTACTACTCAAACGTGAAAAGAATTATATCATCGAAAGGATGCAAATCTACAACGTATCACACGGGGACAGGGAAAGCCTCGAATCATTTTATCTTCGCCTAGCAGGACAAGCTTCAAAATGTGGATGGACAGAGGACATAGAAAAGAAAGTCATTCGCGACATATTCATTGCCAAAATGAGATTCTCTGACATACAAAGAGAACTTTGCATTAGACCAGAAGCCACAGTAGACGATACTCTCAAATCGGCATTACTTCAGGAGAAAGGATACGTGACAGCGAATACCCTCCAAAAGCAGAACCCGTCTACAACGAGCAATTCAGCGAATTTCACAAACTCATCTAACCAGTTTCGGGTTAAACAAGAACCACTGATGTCCATCCAATCGAAGAACAATGTCCAAAACAGAATGAACAGAGCGCTAGGGAAAGAAAATTTTAAATCTAAAAACCAACAAGACCAGCCGAACATTCAATCTAAACCATGTTTTTTCTGTGGGAGAAGATTCACATCTGAACACAAAGCCAAATGCCAAGCCAGAGGAGCAACATGCAGGAATTGTGGAAAAAAGGGACATTTTACTAAATGCTGCAACAGTAATCAAGTTGCAAACGTCGATCAACCAGAATCGGGCGAAGAAGAGGACTGCAACTTCATAGAATCAGACAATGAAGAGAACTACTCAGTCCTAAAAATCGCGGAAACATCAGTACAAACGGAAACAGTCGAGAATCTAGAAGTAATCAACTCTGCAACCGGGAAAACTAAGTGTCTAAGAACAACGCTAAAAACAAGAGGTTCATTATTTAGCGCCACTATTGACACTGGAAGTCCAGCATCATTTGTAAACAAACGCACAGCAGTAACTCTGTTAGCGAAAGACCCCAACGCAAAGATTACATCACTAGATAAGAATCCGTTATCCACAACGTACGTCGACTACAACCATAAACCGATAAAACTCTTCGGAATACTGGAAATCGATATCTTCGAGAACCAGATGTCTATTAGGTTTAGAGATCCAACCAGAACTGGGGATAGTAACAACTCAACTCAAACCGCCCAAAAGTTCAGTAAATACAATTTCAGAAGAGCAAGGAAATGAATCAGCCGAATTGATTTTCTGGAAGAACAAGTTTATCAAAAAATACAATGATGTATTCCAAAGATTGGGGCACTCAAATATCACAAGGTATTCAATTCATTCAAATCACCATTGATTCATATTCAGAAAAAAGGCAGAAGAGTACCAATTCATACTCAAACCAAAGTAGGAGCAGAAATTAGGAAACTCATAAGAGAAGGCCACATAGTAAAACTTGAAAAATGCACAAGTGATCATTTTGTAGCCCCAGTAGTCATAACAGCAAAAAGGATGGCACAGTGAAACTAGCAATGGACGCAAAACCGATGAATTCACAGATTTACAAAAACAGATTTCAGATGCCAAATCTACTAGAACTCCTCGATTCAGCAGCTCAAATAATAACAGCCAAGACAGAAGAGGCACAGTCTGGTTCACGTCTCTAGATCTAAATTACGCATTTAGCCAAATACCGTTAGATGAATCCGTGAGCAAACACTGTAACTTCAATATAGTATGCGGGGAATTCACCGGAACGTACAGATTCAAAACCGCATTTTATGAACTAACAGACATGCCAAAAACATTCCAGAAGTCAATGAACAACACAATCCAAGGAATCCAAGGAGTTTTCTGTTTTTTAGACGATATTTCAATAGTATCAAAAGATTCAGTCACGAAACACAATGAAATACTTAACAACGTTCTGTCAAGATTAGACAATGAAGGATTTGCACTAAAACTCAGCAAATGCGAATTTTCAACAACCAAATTAACCTGGCTGGGATTCGAGATAGATGAGACAGGAGTAAGATCAAAACACTCGAAGATAGAAGCAGTAATGGCACTACAACCGCCAAAATCTCAGAAAAAACTGAGATCATTCATAGGCATATTAAATCACATGTCCAGATTCTTACCCAACCTTCAAAAACACACCGAACCACTCCGACCCTCACTGAAGGCAGATAACAAAGAAAAATTCATTTGGAGTGAAGAAGCAAACAATGCATTCCAAAAGATCCTGGAAATAATCGCTAATATAACAAAAATGCACCATTACGATGCCACCAAACAGTTCAGGATCAAGTGTGACGCCAGTCACAAAGGATTGGGAGCTGCGTTAGAGCAAGAGTTCGAACCAGACAATTGGGTACCAATCGCATTCACATCAAGATTTTTGAACGCAGCTTA